ACACAAGAATAGCCATCATTTCAATGTATAGAAGCCTTACAAAGCATTGGTAAGCTGCTTGATTCCAAGTCATCAAAAACAATACCATTTTTTACTATATGTAGATCTAACTTTGACTGCAACATCAATTATACACCATCTCCCAAACAACTTTCTTCGTTTGTTCTTCATTCTTGATATTCAAACATTCTTCATTTGTGTATACCAGGTGAGGAGTTGTCAGAGTGAAGGCTCGTCGGGAAATCCAGGTGGCGTCGGCTACCTATGAATCAACGTGTGTATGCAATGTGGTACAATTTTATTGTGAGAGAGGAAGAAGGGGGATGAAGAACACGAGGAGGAAAAGTATTAGGGTAATCAGCACTTAAGGTAACCGGATGATTAACGGATAATGACCAAAAATTGGAAGATTTTTGAAAAGGTAATAGTTAATGTGGACACAAAAACTAAATATGGGTTTTGCCAACTAAGTGTGTATTGCCCTACCGAATTTCTGGTAGACTTACTAGAATTTTTTTTTTGCCAACTCTCAGGGTCGGTCCAAACGTATATGGGACTCGGGACGAAAAGAAAAAAAAACCCTTAAAGACAAATATAATAAAGATTAAAAAAATATCATTTATTCTTCACTATAAACACATTCAATTAGCAATAACAAGCAAGTCAAATTGTTTATCTTTCGAACTAGTTTGAGTTTGAACAAATTTTAGGCCCTAAAAATCATTTTAGTAATATATATATATATATATATATATATATATATATATATATATATATATATATATATATATATAACACAAAAAATTTGGCCCCCCTGGAGTCGTGGGCCCTGGGCGGTCATCTGGGTTGCCCACCGTCTGGACCGGCCCTGCCAATTCTAATTGTTTACAGTTGCAATTATAACATATGTTAAGCTATCTTTCGAATGTCCTAAATTAAGACTAATGAGGCTGCCAACTCTACTCGTCGTCATCCTCGCCGTCATCCTCGTCGTCTCTCCGTCATTATCAATGCCATCGTGTTGCCTTTTCCATATATGCTCAGTCAAATCATAATGTAAATTGTGATGTGTTTCACTATTTTGTATTTCCAAAACTCGTGTGAAGTATGCAGGGCTGTCGACTTGTATTACTGCGGGTGGGTTATGAATATCTTCCGAATTATACATACAAATAGCCCTGCCCTCTTCTTCAATTATCATGTTATGTAAAATAACACAAGCAGTCAACACTTTCGTCGATTTCGCCGTATCCCATGACCGTGCCGGATGTTTGATAATGTGTCACTTTTGTTTGAGGACCCCAAACGCCCATTCCACATCCTTTCTTATCGATTCTTGTACTAACTTGAACAATTTTTGTTTTTCATTGGCCGGAAATGAGTACGACTTGAAAAACGTAGCGTACTCTAGATATATCACATCACCAAGGTAATACCCATAATTATATTGATGTTCATTCACAACAAATGACATGTTTGGTGCTTTACCCTGCAAAATATCATTAAATATTGGAGAGGCTCCAAGCACATTCAGGTCGTTGTTTGACCCCGCCATACCAAAGAATGCATGCCACATCCATAGACAGGGCCGGACCTAGAGCACGGGCAAGCTGGGCGATCGCCCCAGGCCTCACAAAAATCGGGAGCCCCTACGAGTTACGGTTACTAGTGTGTGTGTGTGTGTGTGTGTATATATATATAGTTTTGGATAATATAAATTATAATCAGAAGAAATTATACAAATTCATTGCCAGTTGAGATGGTTATGCGCATATATTTATATAGTGGAGGCCCTGTGTTTGTCTTGTTTTTTTTACTTCACTTATTTATTTATTTTCTTTTTGGTGTGCCTTCAGTGATGACACTTCATTTTTCAAGAAGCCATCATAAATGTTTGATGAAGTCCCCTCGTTATACATGACTTCACAACAGTTTCAAGAAGTGAATTCATCATGACATCTTGCTTGTTTCATAAATATGTAAGAAAAAAAATCGAAAACCTGCCATCTTGTTTCTCCATTCTTTTGTTTCTTTTTGTGTAGTTTTTTTTAATACATACATATCCATTATTGCTTAATCAGAGTTTTAGTTTTTTATTGATAAATTAATCTACAAGTACTTAATTATGATTTAGATTGGTTTCTGATTCCTACTTACCTGCATAGATGGTCTTCGGTTATTCTTACAAATCTTGTTCAGTTTATGAAAGTCCTTACGAATTGTTTTGGCTTATGACTCAAATTCATTGGTTTTGCTGCAACATTTTAATGCCTCATACAAAGCTCCTTCCTATAAACCAGTAAAGCATACTTTGGTGGTTTTTTATTTTTGTTTTGGGTCTGGACCATTTTGCCCTTGGGGTGTATTACCTGGAGCTGTTGTGTATAGAGTTAAAACAATCGTGGATCTCTAATTGCATTTACAATGTTAATTCAAAAAGTTTGATGTATTTTACCTACCGGTTACCATTTTACCCCTGATTCTATTAGAGGCATTCTGGGCCTAATATGCGGTTGTTGATGTGTCGAAAATGTTAAGTTACCTACAAAAAATTCATTTCGTAATGTTCATGCTGCTGGCCTAATTCTTTTTGGTTGGTGTCTTTACCATTTTGCCCATGGGGGTAGTTTTTTTATAATACTCTTTGGTGTTGTAAGAGTTGGTTCACTTGACTGAATGGTTTTTTGAACTTAACATATGTAATGTCTTTCAACTAAATCGGTAAAAAGAGCTAAAATTTGTTGTAATTAACTCACTTATCGTTTGTGTTTTTTTTAAATGTTTGTTCTTGATGGGTTTACAAGAATCATTTTATCTAAGTCCAACATCTTTACATACAAATATTTTCAATTTTCTGTTTTTTGTATTAATTTTTTTAGTTAATATTTTTTTGAGATACCTTCTTTTCCATATTTTTTTATATTTAAAGGGCCTCATTTTTTATTTTGTCCCGGGCCTCAGATTGGCTTGGACCGGCCCTGTCCATAGGTCATGTGACACAACGGCCTCTAGTATAATAGTCGGGACGCCTTGATTACCTCGTGTGAATTGAACTCGCCATGCATTGGGACAATTTACCCACTCCCAATGTGTACAATCAATACTGCCAAGCATTCATGGTAAGCCATGTTTAGCTTCATGTGCGACATACAATTGTTCAATATCATTTCTAGTTGGATGTCGCAAATATATGTCACCATAAAGCTCTATGACATACTCACAAAAAAGATAAGCACATTCTCGTCCAGTCCTCTCAGACATTTTCAGATACTCATCTGAAACATCTGCTGCTATGTCGTATGCCAATTATCTAAGGGTTGTTGTGCATTTGTGTAGGGTACTAAAACCACGTTTACCTCTTGCATCCCATCTTAATTGGAAAAACTCATGATTGTTTTCCAAATCTCTAGGAATACGTAAAAATAAATTTCTACTAATACGAAATCGGTCTTCGAATTTTGATAGGTCATACAAACTATCAGGGGCAAAGTAATCACGTACCAAAAGCTCGTGTGTCGCCATACGATCACGCTATATCGAAATTCTATGCATCTTCTCGGTATTTGGACTTTGACCTCTTTGTTGCACCATATTGCGTGGCGTAGACAACAACTTGTGCAACACCAAGTCATCTTCATTAGAGCTTTCATCATCGGATGAAGAAGAAACAATCGAACCCGCAAAATTATTCATATCTATGTTTGAAAGGGTGTTTGAAAGTGTGAATGGAAATGTGTTTGTTTATATGTTGTGTATGTATTTATATATGTGTATTAAGTTTTGTTTGAATATATTTATTTTATCTTGGTAACGGTCAAAAGTAAAGAAAGAAAAAAAAAAAAAAAGGTCAAAAAAATGGTCCACCAATCGCATTCGTCGTCTTCCTCCGTAGCCAGCTTCACGTCACAAGACACCTACCCCCATTGGGGCGGTGTTCACGCGTGGGTAGGGCTGCCACGTAAGCAGCACGCGTAGCTTCCTGGCTTGATACCGGATAGCCTTAATATAAAACTATTAAAATAAGTAAAGGTTCTCCCAAATCCCAATACTAACAACCAATACTACATTTCCATCGTTATTCGGTTTACTTTTTTATTAATTTTTTTCATGTTTTGTATATAGTTTAAGAATAAAATGAAAATATCTTTTTCAAATACAGTTTAAATTTAACAAACCAAACAATTATATAGATAATAATTCTTGTTTGTTAGAAATGTACAATAAAAAAATATAAAATGTTATTAAAAATTATAATTTTTATTTCCCTATAAATAAATTATAATATTGACATACTTCAACATCTAGTTCCAATTCCCTATTTATACCCTCTTTACTTTCCTATTATAATTTTTATTTATTAAATTGAAAAAGGATTTTGGTTAGGTTGTTAATAGGAGTGAAAATTTCGATTTAGTTGGATTGTATAGATAAAAGAATAAGAAATTAGTTTTGAATAAATAATTATGTTGAGTTGGGTTGGATTTGGTTGTAAACGAAGATAATTTAACATATAAATAATAGTTTAAAGTGATTTTTTTTATCCTACTTCTCACATGATTGCCAGTTTGTTACTCTATAGAATTTGTTACATTTGTGCTTTATTGCCAAAAAAAATTATTAAGATAATATAATAAAATGATTGATAACTAATCAAATCATTTGAGATGTAAATCCCATCAAGAAGCGTATCCAAAATTTGAACTTAAGACCTCCGTTCTATATTTTTACTCCACCTTTAAGCTCCCATCATAGAGCACATATAACTATTAACTAAAGGTCGTATCAGAAGATAGGACAGTAGAGATGATGGCCAAGGGCCTCCAAATTTTCGGGCCTATTTTTATGTATCTACTTATATTATTTTAAAAATAAAAAAGATTTTGATATTAAGTCATCACAGTAGAGGCAAAAAAAGTCACATTTTTTTCCCAGGGACTCAAATCGGCTTGAGTCAGCCCTGATTAGTTTCTATAAAATTCGAAAGAGATGATTTTATTAGTATTTATTTTTATAATTTGTTACAATATTTCAAACTCATATAACACTGATAGAAATTAGTCTTTCATATGCAAGAAGATTAACTTATGAAGTATATATATAGTCATGTTTTTGTTTGTTGCTAAATGTTTACCAACTTCCCCTCTACCCAAGCTATGAAAGAGCCATAAAGATGCCAAACAAAATGCATATGTTGCATGTTCCCATGGTTAACATCAATGGCCAAAACTTTATTCGAGTATATTATAGACTCAATCAAGATCAAGTGGTAGCATACTCAATATTCTTCAAAATAGAGCAACAATATGTAGAATCCATGACATGTGAATATGTTTATGAATTAGAACTGGAATTGCATCTCTGCCGAATATCCCAATGCATCTAGATGACCAGCCATGGCCTTGTTCATTGGTGGTGGCCCACACCTTAAAATCTGCATGTTTTTTTAACAATATAATTCTCATATTTACTTTTCTAATTTTTTTTTTTTTGAAAATTTGAAAACATGTTTGAATCGTACCTTGATATCGGGTGCAGGTGCTGGGCAGTGGGCTTGGATCATTTCTTTTGATACAAAACCAACTCCACCTGTCCATTCCTCTGGTGGCTGCAAAAGGACAACACATCACATTACAGAACATAACAGAACAGAACAGGTTGTTTGCAACCATGGTTTAACGTGCATTGAGACTGATGTCAATAAGACAAAAATTACAGTTTCATCTGAATACCTGATTTAGCACATAGTAGACATGGAAACGCCCCGGGTATTTAGCTTCAAGTCCCTCCAGTTCTTCCTGAAAATCATCCAATCAGACAATTTACATAAGGCATGACTCTCCCTCATCATCATGTTTATGATTAATATGGACAACTCTTGGATGCTTTGCTATAATTACTCACCTTAAGAAGGATGTCCTCATATGTGACATTAGCATATATGAGATGCACCTGGGTGTTGTCCTTTGGGTTTTCTAGTATAGCTCTAGCAACCTACATTGAAAAAAAAATCACAAAAATATAAAATCATAATGTTATAAATAAATGCAAAGACCTCACCTGAAACATTGGAGTGATTCCAGACCCCCCAGCAAGCATTCCAAAAGCTCTCACCTCACCAGGTTGATACTTGAAACGCCCCTGGAATGGAATTTACTGAAATTATAGATGGAATTATGAATAAAACTTCACTCTAACATTCTAGAAAATGAAGATTCAACAAGTTATAATCATATACCTTGGGTCCCCTTACAGCCATATAGTCACCTTCACGCAGCTCTCTAAAGTAGTGGGACATCCGACCTAGTGGATACATCTACACACACACACACACACACACACATATATATATATATATATATATATATATATATATATATATATATCACCATCACAACCATTTATACAACAAGATTAAGCATTAACAGATCACAAAGTGCAACAAATTTTGAATATTCATGTGTACCTTAATAACTAACTCAAAATATCCCACATCAGTGTCAAGGGTGGTTGGGGTGTAGGGTTTGATAACCTCTTCCCCTTGACTATCTTTACCCCTAGAGTACAAAACAAGGTAAATAATTGTAGGAAGCAGAAACCTAACACACCCACCACTTAAAAGCTAACATATGGTATTTATCAGTGAGCAAAAAACAAAGCCAATTAAATAAATATACCTGCAACTTATGTGTTGTCCAATAGGAAGGCCCAACACAGAAGTAGGTGTAGGAAGCTCAAATCTGAACTTTGCAACATTATGGCTAAGCTGTGTGCGCTTCACAAGCTTGAATTCCTTAAAATTTTCAGGGTCTATGCTCCCTACTGACAACACAACGCAATACTTTCTTATTCAGATGGGAAACTAAGAATTTGAAAATAATAGCTGCACTAGTTAGATTGGATGAAGTAGAAATAAAAACCTTTGCTCTTCTTTGAGGTATACAAGTAGGCTGCAGTTGCAACAACAGCAACAATGGCAACACCAATTCCGACTTGGACCTCCTTTGCTTCCAAGAACTCCATTGCTTGAGAAGGAGGTGAAGACTTGGGTGTTTTTCTTATCTGAAAGATGTCACACCAAAAAACAGAGTTTTAATGGCTTGATAACAAGCCTAATTTATAGCGGTTTCAGGAGAATCATAAGAAAAATATGTCCTCTCCCTAAGCAGTAATATGCTATTTCTTGTCCATAACCATTTCAAAAATAAACGGAATTGTTTTTTATGAAAAAAAAAAAAGCAAAATAAATAAGTGTGATAGCATGCAGCAAATAACCTCCTAAAGCTATAAGTTATACAATGCAAAATAGTATTAGTTATGGTTGAGTTGTTAAACATGCTTCTGAGGAAACAGAAAACAAACAAGAATATACAAAAGGAAAATAAAATTGGAATTTTGAAGATCATAGTTTCAGATTATGAGATATATGATTGAAACCAAATAAGAGTGTATGATGATCAACGCATGATCTATATGTGTCTCCTTGGGTCTTTTGCGCTATTCGATCTCAGGAACTCAAAACGCAGAATTTTTCTACTATATAAACCTCCATTTCTGTTACCTTTGACACTTTTGAATTAGTTTGATGGAATAAGTATTTTTAAATCCACAGCAAATTGTATTATCAAGTTTTGGAGCTCATTTATAAGCTAAAAGTCAAGTGCAAACTCCATTTAATTTGGGGGGCGAACAGAGAAAAAAAATGCATTTATAAAGAGGCGCTCCATTCATTTGGTGCATTACACTTCAAAGTAATACCATATCCATGCTCACAAATTATGACTAAAAAAAAATAAAATCTTCAGTTCAGATTTAATCGAAATCATGATTACAAATCAAAAACATCTAATTTGAGAAAGTGATTTGCAATGTTATTCACATAATTACAGTACAATACTAAAAAAATCACCTCGAACTTATCGAATAGATGAACAAACCTGAAGGGAAAAGACAAAATCAGGAACAAATCTTGATATAGATCTGCGAATAAAAATAAGGTTTAAAGGGCAGTGAAAGCAGGTTGAGAGGAGAGGAAGTTTGGTGGGGTGGTAGGTAGGAATAGGATCGAATGATGGAGGAAGCGAATGGAATAGTAACACTTTGTAACAGTGAGTGTGACACAATGCCAATCCCAAGTTCCCAACTACCTCAAGGTCAATTTTAGGGACTACTGGTCATATTTTATTCCTCGCTTTTTTTAAGAGTAAATTATACTAATGGTCCCTATGGGTTGGGAAATTTACATATATAGTCTTTAACTTTTTTTTTTTTGTGATTAGGAAGGTCCCTATAATTTGTTTTTGTTGAGCATTTGGTCTTTGTTATACATAAAAAAATATTATTTTGTTATTGATTTTTTAATTTATTTGAATAATATGGGATAAGTAATATAAGGTAGGACAAGTCCGGACCACGACCATAAAAACTAGGGGGATCGAATTCAAAACTTCAAAATGAAAATTAACAAATTTTATTTGATTCAAAACTAGAATATAATAATAATAATAATAATATACAAGATTGTTACAATGCTTGTCAAATAGAACGTTGTGTCATTGAAGTCTCGTAAAAACTTAGATCTGACAATTCGTGTATTCGTGTCATGAAAAGGTGTCAGCCACGAATTTGACACGATACGATTACACGATGAGAAATAAGTTTTATCTTAATTTTTAAGATGTATTCGTGTCGTGTTGTGTCATGTCTCTCGTGTCATGTCTCTCACATATTCGTATCTTCGTGTCTGAAATTGTCAGGTCTATAAAAACTTCTATAAACTAATTATTTTTGGCTAAGTTTCATTTTATATTAACATGGTAGATATATAAAATCTTTTGGATTATTTTCGTGTTTCAAAATTTTTATCCATACTTAACAATACAAATAACAACAACAAAATATTTCAAATGACAAACCGATTTATACAAGTAAACAATAAGCAGTAGATTTATAAATAAATAAAAGATACACATTTCAATTTAATAAAGTAACGAGTGTTAGCTTTATGAGTGTGTAGTGTCTTCAATTTTTCTTTTATATTTTCTATTCCCAAAAAACCCTCTTTCAGATTCCAATTTTGTTCTTTTAGATGGTACCCAGCTATGACTAGAGAAATAAAATTTGAAAAAGAGTGAAACAAAGAGAAAAAGAATGAGAAAGTCGGAGGGAGTACTTACAAACTAATAGTCGGGTTCCGGCGACCGACAGAGAAATGTCTTGAGATGGAGAGAAGCAGCAGGTTGAGTGCAGAGTAGATGTCAAAATAGACCAGTCCAATCTCCAACGATCTGTCAAGAGGAGAGGCGGAAAAAAAAATTCGAAGACTAGAAGAGCATTTGAAGGCCACAAGAGGGTTTTTCTTTCGGTGGGTTTGAGGAAGTTTTTTCTAGACGGCCTGAATAAAGTTTTAGTGTTTAAAGCTCTCTTAAACTCAAAGCTAGAGTATAATTTTAATTAGATCTTTGGATTTTTTTTATAGATTTCGGTAGTCATATATAGTTTCTTATTTGAAGATTCCTAAAAAAAATAAAGTTGGTTTTGATTTGTTCACAAATTTTCTAAAATTTGGTTATTGTTCATTTAGTGTTTTAGTTGATAACTAAATTGCATAAATCAAATATATACCATATATTCCATAATCTGGAAACGAGGGGATAATTTGCTATTCTGGTAATTATTGTATAATTTGATTATATATAGATGTATAAGAAGCCTTTAGAGGCCATGATCCCCTCTCTTCCCTAAGGCCAATTCTAATCATGAAACACCAAAAAAAAACACTAAAATAGTGAATTTTCAACATAAAAATAGAGTTTCCATTCCAACCACATATTAAAACTTTAAACTAAAAACTTATTTTAATAATATTATATTAGAAAGCAATTTCATTATTATTATATAATTCAATTTAACTTATTTATTATAGTATCTAAATTATCAATAATAATAATAATAATAATAATAATAATAATAATAACTAATTAACTAATTGAAAAAAAATTATATGAAAGATAAATTTAAATTTAAATCGACAATATTACATTACTAAAAAACATTACATTTAATTCAACTTCGAACATAACCCAAATTTAAACTAATTTTCCGAGTTAATATACTCATCCCATAAATGTTCAATCAACGCATTTCGAAGTTCATAGTGAGCGTCTTTATTTTTGATCTTTTTATGTCGAGCAAGAAATTCTTGAAAGCGAATATCATCATCAACCACTATTTCAACTTCTACATTAGACGCTAATAAAAAATGTGTGAAGCTTTAAAAATTGGCAATGAAATTACTTAAAATACCTTGAAGCTCAAAATGAAAAAAATCGGGTGGCAAATGAAACAAATCGTTTGGCTAACATTACAGAATAAAACAAAATTTTGTTTACCACTATCTCCGATCCCGAGTTTCTTGAGTATATTCAAAATGAAAAGAAACGAATAATAAGATAATGAACAAAATAATCTCAAGGACAGGGACAAGGGTCCAATTATCAAGGATTTCAATATCGAGCCTCTCAATATCAACCACTTCAATATCCAGGATTTCAACATCAACCATATGAGTTCCAAGGATCCCAAAAAGAAGAAGTTCAAGAACAAGAACAAAAACAAACCAAAATTATAGTCAATACTTTTTTGAACAATTTCTAGATTATTTATCTTAGTTTATGTTTTTTTGTTAATTATCTATGTTATATTTATGAAGTTTCAATTTTTAATATGCGTTTAAATTAATTACAACAAGATTGAATTATCTTTAGACTTTTTAATTAAACAATACATTAATACTTATAAAATATAATACAATACTTAAATTATAAAAATCAGCCGTTTGTATAAATTATTTTGATAGCTTAAGATGGTTATTTTTATAATACAATATATGTGATAATATATGTATATATGTGATAATCTGAAACAAGTCTATTGAATATAATATTAATATATATTGAAAAAGCAGTTAGGTGTTATATGGAAAAGGCATCTATATTTAAAGGGATAATGACTTAGAAGGGTAATAAGGTTTTCAGTTTGTCCGTATTAGGTCACTAAGATTTTTTTTGTGCGTATTAGACTAATATGGTTGTTATTACTGTTTAGAAATAATCCTTTTACCGATTTTAATAGGTAAAAAGGACTATTTCTAAACGGTAATAACAACCATATTGGTCTAATACACACAAAAAAATATTAGTGACCTAATACGGACAAACTGAAAACCTTATTACCCTCCTAAATCATTAACCTTAATTTTAAAGATATTGAGAATATATGACCATCAAAAGTAAACTACATCGTTTAGAACTCGCGCCGTCCCATATAACCTGCTACTCCTCTATATGGCGAAGCTCTTCATCTATAGTCATCCCTTTGGGGACATCCGATAAAATTGGAACGATACATAGAAGATTAGCATGGCCCCTGCGCAAGGATGACACACACAAATTGAGAAATGATCCAAAAAAATTTTTAACCCTTCGTTGTCTTCTCTGGAACCCTAATTCCCTTTTCAAATGTTAATAAAGTTCAATTGCAATTCTTACGTTTCAGTAGTTCATCTACTGAAGTCATGATCAGACAACATGTGGATTCTATGGTCAGATTGATCTTCTTGTTGATGTCTTCAACCATTTGTGGCAAGTAAGTGTGGTCTTTCTTTCTATAAAGTCTCCTTTAAGTTTTTTACTTTTCCTATCATTAAGTTTCATGTTTTATAAACTTCCATTTATGTGTTGTATATAGTATGTATGTATTTTTGTTTATGTGTTGATTTTTTATTCATTTTGCAACTTCAGTTTCTTAGTTCAGGTTGTGGTTTTGTTTTTTAATTATAAAATAATTGATAATAGACATCCTTTACAAGTTCCTGTTGGTTTTACATTTCCATTCGTTATGAAATGTAGACATTGATGGGGGGTATCAAAGTGAGATTTTGTTTTTGTACATATGGATGTGTTCATGTAAACATTTAAATGACAAAAAAGAAGTTATTGATAAAATGTTGCATATTTACGTAATGAAGACCATCAATCATATGAGTTTCTGGACTTAGAAGTTCTAGAAGGGTTGTGAGGTAAGTTTAAATGGAAGCAACTATTTTCAGTCAAACAAATCAGTCACATTGATTAGTAAGCATGTTTTCTAAATAAATAGGGTTAATGACTTAGGAGGGTAATAAGGTTTCCAGCTTGTCCGTATTAGGTCACTAAGGTTTTTTTTGTACGTATTAGACCAATATGGTTGTTATTACCGTTTAGAAATAGTCCTTTTACCGGTTTTAACGGGTAAAAAGGACTATTTCTAAACGGTAATAACAACCATATTGGTCTAATACGCACAAAAAAAACTTTAGTGACATAATACGGACAAACTAGAAACCTTATTACCCTCCTAAGTCATATCCCATATTTAAAGGCCAAAATTTGAAGACACTTACCGGCCTTTTAGCGATCGATTGGAGCAATAATAGTTGGCATTCCACTATTTTAGTGTAACGTTGGATTAGCTCTAAGAGGGTCCGCCAAGCTAAGGTGATACGGAAATGAGGGTGAGGGTGTGTTTATTTGAATAAATTAAAAATTAATGGCAAAATAGTCTTTTTAGATAAGACATAGATAAAATGCGCAACAAAAATAAATAGTAGAAAATTCTGAGTTAAAAAAAAAAATAAGTTAGAGACCAAACATTGAAATTACCCAAAACCATAAGGACCATTCGTGTAATTTACTCTTTTTTTTTTTTACAAAATTGCAAAAATGGTTTGATATACATAAAAATGGTTTATATGATAAGCTCTCATGCTTCAATCAAAAAAGTTTGAATTTGCATCCATGATCCAATAGTTTGATTTTCTTGCGAGTTTAGGTCAAAATATTTTATATTTTTTTATAATGACAGATTTACCTTTGATATTTCCCCTTTTTCAATTATTTTATTACAGAAATCAAAAAAGAAAAAAGAAGAAAAGGAAATACCCACCTCTCTCTCTCTTTCTCTCTCTCTCTCTCTCTCTCTCTCTCTCTCTCTCTTCCGGTTTGTGTTTGATGAATATATTCATAGATTCAAGAATGCTCAAAAACATCTTCCGCTAACACCACTGTCCACCACTATCACAGTACGCGATCACTATCGCCTATCACCTCCATTTCCACCTAAACTTATTATGCCACTTCATCTCCACCAAAAAATCATCTTGTTAGGGTGCAAAGTCACTCTTGTATATATTTATGCTTTACTCATTTGTATGTGTGTAATGAATTGTCTTTCCTTTATAAGGAAGTGAGTGACACTCATTTTATCTAATGATCATTTTGGAGTGTTAGACTAGAGAGAGAATTCTTACAAGACCCATTTTTATGTTCTTTCTAGATCTAATGAGAGCTTAACAAGATTTATTTACTCCATGTGTTCATAAATTACATGATGATTCACTAGATCTTTTCTTATTCTGTAAATGTCATTATAATCAACACAACTAAAATTTGTATCAAAGCGGGTGTTCTTGATTTGATCAATAATTGATCCATGATTGCAATCTCAATTTAGTGATTCTTCATGTTCTTATTGGGCTTCGTGATTAGAGAGTGTTTTGTGTTCTAGAAATCGAATTTTTCCTTGATTTGACCGTAATTCGATTTTCTCCCTCTAGAATACTTGTTTGTACCACTTTCTCTCACTAGAATTTGGTTCATATTCACTTTCTCTCTCTAGAGATCTCCTTGATTTTTACTTTCTCTCTCTAGAAAACCCATGTCAAATCACTTTCTCTCTCTAGAAAAACTCAAGATCTTATCAAATTGATCAAAGATGGTGGAAATGGTGTACTTGGAGTATAATTATTGGATTGTGATCACTAAAGATGTCAAATACAAAGTCGATTTAGAACAATTCATTAGATTAATATTGAAAAGCAGGATTATTTCATTGAGATATTTTGATTTCTTATGGAGGTTTGAAGGATGATCATGGATGATTGATTTTTCAACCACTTTCAAAGATTGAATGCTTGACTAAAGCTTACAATAACTTGATGATTGAGAGAGATATAAAGAAAGGAAAGGAAAAAGATTTGTTTGATAAGCATTTCATTTCTCTTATTGAAATCCCGGATGATCTTCTAGCTCTTAAGTTTGTTGAAGTTCTTGATAATGGAGGTCAATGTGATATTCTTGATGTTCAAGAAAAAGGAGTTCAAGTTGATTCTCATGATGAAAACGTTTTTTTGCTCGATTGGAGTTTAAACCGATGATATTTTGTGTTCTTGTGATTCATTTGAAGGAATTATTCCTTATCGGAAGCCGATGATCCAAGAAATTCACAAGTATCAAACTCCAAAAAATTTGATTCAACTCAAAAAATTGAAGTTGTGGAAAGTGGGTTTGTTCATGAAATCAAGTCTTCAAGATGCAAAAAAATGAGAAAGAAAAAGAAGAAGAAGATTAAACGCAAAACCAAGCAAGTTTACTCACAAAAATCATCAAATATTATGAAGCCAAAATCCATGAAGCAAATTTAGGTTCCAAAGCAACAATCTCCAAATGTTGCATTGAACTTGAAGTCAAAACCCAAATGTGTTGATGGTTCTTTTGAAGTTGTTCTTGGTTTGATGAAGAATACGAAGAACACGAAGAACGAGTTGTACATCACGCATAGTGGGTGGTATAATGTTCAAATTGGAGATTTTCTGATTCCAACAAAAGAACCAAGATCTTCTAAATTTGATCCATTCGTGGAAAACGGAACTCGATTCATCAAAAATGTATCCCAAATTCTCAAATAGATTTCAAAACATCCATGATTTCGATTTGTACTTTTTGTTTTTTATTTTTGATCGATTTGCCTCATTGGATCTAATCCGTTTCAACCACATTGTTGATCCAATTATTCTTGTTTAGATCAATCACAAACATCAAAATTGATTTGATTAATTTTTGAGCCCAAACAAATTAAATGACATGATTATTGTTCATTCAACTAAAATTAGCCCAAATCTTTTACTTAATCCAAAATATGAGCCCAAAAGTCATTCGATCTAGTGTTCATCATTAAATACAATTTGCAGCCCAAAAAAAATCGAATGTTACTGTTCATTTACACGTTTGATTGAGCCCTAAAAGTATTCAAGTATTGTTCATGGAATACTTTTATTGAGCCCAACTTATTTTTCTTTATGTTCATTCGTTCGATTCCTTAGTTCTATGGTCATTCACATATGAGAAAATAAATGTCGAACACATTAAACTTGATTTTCTTAATGATTTGTTGATTGAGTTCATGTCGAAAACTATGATGGAATCAAAATCAAGTTCTTTTGATTTTGGATTCATACTGGATTGGTAGTTATTGAAATCGAAGTTTACTTTGATTTGTGTGATTTCAGTTGTTTGCAATTGAAAATCAAAATTGTTGTTGATAATTGGATTTATGTTCGAAATTGGTTAGTAGAAGGTTTTGAAGTCGAACAACTTGAGATTTTAAAGTCTTGAATTCGAATTAGAAATAATTGTGGTTGCGTAGGGTCAACATCAATTTTGATTGATGTTCTTGGTCGTAGCAGTT